TAGCCGAGCTGAATTCCTCATCTATAGCTAGTGTCAAGCACCGGACGTGTTGTGAGGAAGTCACTGAGATGGTTCCAGCCCTAGCTGCCATCTGACTGCAACATCATGAGTGAGCTCAGGTGAGAATCACCCAGCTAAGCCCAGTTAGCCCCAGAATAAAATAATCGTTTTAAGTCATTAAGTTTAGGAGTGATTTATTATGTAGCAATAGATCATCAGAACAGTGATCTTAGGCTTTGCTGGAGCTCCCGAGCCTCAGTTTTCTTACCTGTGAAATGAGGACTATGAAGTCTACCTTAGAGGATTACTGTGAAAATTAAAAGACAATGCATAAAAAGTACTTAGCATGTGCTTGCCACACAATAATTAGGCAATAAATTATTAACTATGATTAATGACATCACGAGTGAGATAGGAGGGGTGATCTGGATTGAGACCTCAGGTCTAGGTAGTGACAGAAGGATGGGGAACTGAACTTGCAGTGGGACAGCCTCTGGGGAAATAAGCTGAGAGTCAAGCCACAGGTGCCAACTGTGCAGTGAGCTGCGACAAGATTCAGGCAGCATCCAGTGTGAGGAAGACCAGTCCAATCTGGGGAATCTTCTACTTCTTCGTCTGCATGAAGCATGCAAACTGTCGGTGTTAAAATGAGATGAAAGGCAAAACCTGGTAAATCCTGGAGGTGGCTGCTGGGAGAGTGTGGGCAGCACACAGGAAACCTATTGCTGAAAGATTAAGCAGTGTTGGGGACTTGGCCACTGGAGTGCGCCACAGAAAACTCTGGAGGTGAGAGGGGTTGTGTGAATATCCCAGGAATCTGAGGTCACAGCTGGCAGAGTTAACAAAGCAACAAGGTGGGGAACCAGGGAGGACGCCTGATTACATTCTTCTGCATGACGTTTTCTTGTGGTTTGGTTCCCTGCTTCAGAGGGTCTCAGGATGTGAAAGGTGTAGTTTGCTGAAGTAGGTGTCTGCACAATTCAGGCAGCCATGAGCCGTTAAATCTTACAAACCAAAACTAACCACATCTTCTGCAAAGAAATCTATCATCACAGAACCCTATATTCTACCTCCACAAACAATACATATGCTCATTTTAGAAAGATTAAATACTATGAGAAGGAAAAAGAGAAAAATAAAAATCTCCCAGATTCCTACAGCCCAGAGATATCCTGTTAATATTTTGGTATATATATATATAGCCTTCCAAAATGTATACAAAAACAGAACCGTACTGTTTTGTAACCTGCTTTTATTGCTTAATGATATGCCTTGGACATCTTTCCATGTTATGAAATATGCATCTGTAGTTCTGAGCTTTTCAAATGGGGACATGGAGCAGTGTGCTAGGGTTTCTATCAGCTGCAGGAAAATTGCGGTTCATCACACTACAGCATCAATTTTATTCAGTGCTAAGTTGCTTAAAATATTATCTTAATATTTAAACCAACCCAGCTATGGTATGGAGCAGGGTACAAAATTTACATGAATTTTTAGGAGACAATATGAGACTTCAAAGAAATATCCTTTGACTCATTCTTTTGTATCATCATTTTTAGGGCATGTAGCCATTAACTTATGGGGATCATTTGAATAGATTGTGTGTAAGGGGAGGTGGGAAGAGTTAAGTGACAATTTAGAGACAATAAGGGCGCCCAGAGTCCTTCCTTGAGGCACAGAGTCCCTTGCAGCGAGATGATATGGAGAGCAATGTGGGCATCTTGAAGTCTTGGCTTGGCCTTTAGAACCTGGGCCTGGGTGGGTGGCTTATTTACAAGCAGTGCCATCCCTAACATCCTCCTTAGCCTGTTGGCATAGAACAGTTGAAGGCAGGGGTGACACCAGGGTAGGGAAAGTATGGCTGTACCTGGCATGGTACTTAGAACTAACCCAGTAGCTCCACGTGAACGATGCACAGAGTGAAGTTATTCAGTCCTAGCTCTGCTATTCACGAACTCTGTGAATATAGGCAATTCACTTCTCTTTGCTTCAGTTTGGCACCTATAAACTGGTGATAAAAGCAGCATCTCATAGGATTGTTGGAGGTATTAAATGAGTCAAGTACAGTACTTAGAGTATCATTTGGGACATAGTATGTGTTCAACATATGTTAATTATTATTATGATGTAATATACGTTGCCTAGCTTCTCATGGTAAATGTGTCCCATTCTTGTTCAAACTGAGCTTATGACTGATTGAAACTCTTGGGTCTTTTTCATTGGAATTGTTATCAAGCTTGCATTCTCGGTGCTATTACTAGTTTTTAACTGCATGGCTTATTAATGTTCATTGCTTTGATTCTGATCTAGTATTCTAGCCTGTGGTAGTTATCCAACAACTAAGTCTTCCTTCTGAGAGTCAGTTGGGTTTCAGATTCTAACAACATTTGTAATTTTGTTGCCCCCATTCTGCAGATGACAAAACTGAGGGAAGGAAACTATGACCTCTTGAGTGAGTCTTTTGTGCCAGATTTTGCTGAGGGCCTCTTGGTTAATCCTCAGAGCAAGCTAAAGAAGCAAGATTTATTATTTCCATTTTACATATGCAGAAACTGCAGCTCAGAGTGGTTCGGCAAATCACCCAAGGTTGCTTAGATGGCTCAGCACTTTCCCCCTACATTACACTACCTCCTAGTTTTGGGTTTTCCGTAAATCTAACTGTCATGGTTGAATTTAAGCTGCTGAAGTAGGTATTTCACAGGACAAAGCCAAGCACAGAGACAAACCACTGGAGAACCCCTTCTAGGTAGATCTATGGCTCTTATGTCTATCCCTAAATCAATGCTTTTGTAGGGGATCATTCAACCACTGGAATTGGAATCAGATACTGCTATTGGAAATTGAGGTCTAGAGTGTGTTAAGAAGTTACAGAGAAATCTGCTTCCTTCATTTCTTTAAGAGAAGCACCTCCTTGCCCCAGCTCTTTCCTTCTCCCCTCTCAGCAGGACTCTGGATGCTTATAGAGTCACATGTCCTAAATCAATCCCAGAAAATGTTCCTTTTCAAGCTGTGTGTGAGAAGCTTTACAGAGTATCCTGGGAACAGGCAGCATCTGCCTGTATTTACTCTTGTTGTTGATTAAAGCTGACAGCTGGAGCACCAGGAGCCGAGGCTGTAGGCACACGACTGCTGACAAGAGGGGAAAGAGTCAATGGCAGTGGCTAGACCAAAGGAAACCCAGTCCCTTCTTTCCCATGATTACAACCCTAGACTTGACAGAAGAGGAGTCAGGTCAAGGGAAGAGGAGGACGGTCATCTAAGGCAACTTTCTCCCAGGATGGAAACTTTCTCTGCCCCATTTTGAATGGAAAGAAGCAGTGGCATAGATTTCCATGGAGGCTGGTGCCAGTGGGCTCCACAGCTGTGGCCAGAGGCTGGTGGGAAGCAGCATGAATGGCATTTTCCCTACAGGATGATGAAATAGTGGTGCCTGGAGCTTTGGATACTCTGATTAACTCTCTGACTCCCGCTGATTCAAGGATACCTCAAGCAGAATGAGAGAAGGGCAAGTTGAGAGAGAGTGCCCCGATCACTGCTTATGGAATGATGTACCTATTCGAGTTGGAAATCCTCAGTTCCCATCTCTGTGCTACATGATGGCAGGTGTAATGCAGTGGGATGCTTGGACGTGGAATAAGCTTGCACTTCCAACTCCTCCATATGGCCCTTCTGGAGGGGGATGATTAAAGTAGCAACCCTGTGTCTTCTGTTGCTGTCCTTCACAGAGCTGCTCAAACTCTTCCAGGCTCCCCATCCCACTGAGAATGAAATCCAAAGTGCTCACCATGGCCCATGTGACCCTGTGTGCTCCGGCCTCTGCCTCCCTCTCCAGCCTCCCCTCCTACCACATGCCCCACAGTAGCCTCCATGCTGTGCTTTGAATGTGCCACGCATGTTCCTGCCTCAGAGTCTTCACACTTTCTGTTCCCTCTCTCCAACGGTTGCCAGATTTAGCAAATAAAAACACAGAATGCCCAGTCAAAATAGAATTTCAGAGAAACAATGAAGAATTCTTAATATAAGTATGCTCCATGCAATATTTGTTCACCTGAATTTTGTATGTAACTTGGCATCCCGTGCTTTGCCTGGCGACCTTGAGGGCTCTCTGGAATGCTGCTCCCTTGGGTACGCGTGTGGCTTGTTCCCTCTCCCCCTCCAAGTCTCTGCTCACCTCACCAGAGGACTCGCTTTCCATCCCATCTACAATAGCAATCGACTCTCTTATCCTGCTTTTTCTCCTTTAGAGTTCTTACCACTACCTGATGTAATATGGTTTATTTATTCATTTATTTGTTGACTTTATGTCTCCTTGGCAATTGTGAACTCTACCAGCATGGGATTTATCTTCACTGTGGTATCTTCAGTCTCTGGACTTGTTGGTGCTCAATAAATGTTTGCAGAGTGACCGAATGACCTTATCCGGGCTCTCCTTTTGTGATGTGGAGCCCTTGATCTCTCTGATCTCATCTCAGGCCACTCCCCTTCCCATAGGGCATGAGCTATGCTGGCCATCCAGCTGACTCTCAGATGTGCCACGCCCATTCCTGCTTCTAGGACTCGGGACTTGCTGCCTGGCACAAACCTCCCCCTGTGTTTGAATGGCTGCTCCTTCTCTTCTCCTGGGTCTCAGAGAGGGCTTTTCCAGCCTCTCTGCTGACATGAGCCCTCTGACCCTGGACCTTTCATTCACATGACAGTTTTATTTCCCTTAAATACCTTATTGCTGACCTGGCACAGTGGGTCACGCCTGTAATCCCCGCACTTTGGGAGGCCAAGGTGGGCAGATCACTTGAAGTCAAGAGTTGGAGACTAGCTTGGCCAACACAGTGAAACCCCATCTCTACCAAAAATACTAAAATTAGCTGGGTGTGGTAGCACACGCCTGTAATTCCAGCTACTTGGGAGGCTGAGGCATGAGAATCGCTTGAACTCGGGAGGGTTAAAAGAAATCTTATTGCTCTTGGAAATTATTTGTTTAATGACTTTTTTTTCTTTTCAAGACAGGATCTTGCTGTCGCCCAGGCTGCAGTGCAGTGGCTCGAATGAATGAGCCCCTCCGCATTCCCTTTCCCCTTCTGTGGCTTGCTGCAGATGATGACAAGGCCCAAAGGGCTGGTGATAGCCACAGTGACCTTGGAGGCTGCTGTGGAGGATTGTGGAGGATTTAACCGTTCTCCCCAGGCTGTCACATGAAAAATAAACCAACTTCTTGTGTTTTTGGTCCCCAAACTTTTGGTGTTTGTTACCAAAGTTAAGCCTGCACTAATTAATACATGGTTGTATTCACTGTGTCTGATATATAGAAAGTGCTCTATAAATGCTTTGTTGAGTTCCCTGGTGAGGAAGATCTGTCTATTCCTGCAAATGGAACAGAATTGTATTAAATAACTAAAGGGAACCAGCTGCTTTCCCTTATTTGCCCAGATAGCACTCATGTCCTCCTTAACTCCCTAAGGTCATCAAACTCACTGTGTGTGAGTCCCTCTTCTGGGTTTATCAGGGGTTGAACTTTCAAGGCACAAGCAAAGAAGACTCTGTGAGAGATCCCTATGGTCAGCAAAAGGCAGCCATGATGGTCTTCCACTTGATCTGTGTTGCCCCTAAGACACCCTGGAGATAGATGCTACAGCACAATTGGTAAAAGATTCCTGTGATGAATTTCTAGGGGCTCTTTTGATGGAAATTCATCTTAGCAGGTTGATGGCAGATATTCCTGGCCCAACTGTTTCATGCTCTCCTTTTTTTTTCTTTTTTGACGTATCTCCACTCTCAGACTGGTTTTCTGGCTCCTTAGTGTCGAATGACCCTTAAATTTTCTATAGCCTGGGGCTTAGTCGCACACTCCTTATTCTGTTTCTATTAAGAATTTTTGCATGAGACTTAACAGTTTTTTTCTTGTGGAGTCTTCATCTATCCTTAAAAGGAATCTTGATCTCACTTTCACTACGCGTAGGCACTGTACGTAGGTAGGCATGGACAAAATCCCTCTGTGATGCAACCAAGCCTCAGCTTCCCAAAGTGCTGGGATTACAGATGTCAGCCACTCTGCTGTGCCTGGCCTGGATTTTTTAAAAAAGAAATTTTACTTCGAAGTCAAGGAAACAAAACAAATTGAAAAGTTGAGATCTGAAAGAGTTTAGAGAGCATTAGTTCCTGGTTGGCATAGCTTACAGTCTACCAGTTCATACATGAATTGCTTAACAAGTGTTTACTGGGTTCCTTGTGAGGCACTGCACTAGGCACAGGGGATTCAAAGATGAACACAGTGACGACTTTGGCTTCAGAGCACTCCTAGTGTATACAAAAAACAAGTAGGAAAAGTTTTACAATGTAGTATGATAAATACAATCAGGGAGGCATGTAATGGTGGGATTTTTTTCAACACAGTTAAGAAGGTTCTAGATTCCTTCATCTCCTAGGTGCTATCTGAGGAGCCCTGCTCCAAAATCTCCTTATTCAGTTTTGAACACCACATTTCTCCTGTTTCTTTCTTTGTGAACCATTGCAGGGAAGAAAAGATTACAGAAAGGATTATGTTCTTTAGTACCCCTGGCAGCACTAAACACTGGATTTGGGGGGGAGTCCTACATCTATGTATAGCATTATTCTTTTGAGTAAGTGTGATTCAATTAACAGATAACTTCGTGTGTTTTAATTTGTGTACCTTTATAGGAATTTGCATATAAACAAATATAAGTGAGAAAAAAATTCCCTTGAGTAGACTATATCCCTCTTTTTTGATTTGGAACATCTGGCTGCTCCTATATGTGAGCAAAGACAGAAAGTAGCCTCAGCTGGGCGTGGTGGCTCACGCCTGTAATCCCAGCATTTTGGGAGTCTGAGGCAGGTGGATCACCTGAGGTCAGGAGTTCGAGACGAGCCTGACCAACATGGTGAAACCCTGTCTCTACTAAAAATACAAAAATTAGCTGGACGTGGTGGTGCACGCCTGTAATCCCAGCTACTCGGGAGGCTGAGGCAGGATAATCGCTTGAACTTGGGAGGTGGAAGTTGCAGTGAGCCGAGATTGCACCACTGCACTCCAGCCTGGGCGACAGAGTGAGACTCTGTCTCAAAAAAAAAAAAAAAAAAAAGAAAAAAAAGAAAGTAGCCTCTACCATGGAACATTTGCTTACTCCTGGGAGAATCTGTGCCTCTAGCTGTATCCAGCAGTCCCCACCGCGCTCAGTCCTCAGGTTCTGTGGGAGGAGCACCAGGTTCTCGTGGCCACCAGTTCTCGGGGAGAACAGGCCCCCCAGCTGCTGTTCTCTGGCAGAGGAAGACAGGAGCCCTGATCAACTTCAGAAGGGATACCTCCCTTCGGGTCACCTTCCAGAGAGGTCGGAGAACCTCATCAAAAACAGCATCATCAGTCTTTACTCTCTTGATCCAATTCTGATTTGAAAGAAAATAAAGAACAGCAGGATTAGGAGAAAGAGAAATGGAGGGGTCCTCGGCACTGGGGTGGCAGAAGGTGGGGTTGACACTGCAGAGAAAGTTGTTTCTGCTCAGGTGCTTTTCTGTGGCGGTCACGAGGGGGCCTGTGGGGTTCACAGAGCATGGGGAAGATGACGCTGTCTTCTGTGTTGGGTTCTGCTTCTGTTCTTGTTCTTCTGTCTTCTGGTGGCTTTCTGGAAGGATGATCAGGATAAGGTAGAGGAACTGTAGATGACCTGGGAATGGGAAAGCTAGGGATCTCCAGGATCAGAGGAGATCCGTTCATTCTTTAGGTTGGGGACATAGACGAGGAAATCTCTCTAGGAGCAGATTCTCAGGATCAGCTCTCAACTCTATGTGTGAGGAAGGAAGGAAAAAGAATTGAAATAAGCTATCCATTTTAGGAAGGACCCTGACGGGGACCCTGAAAAGTCCCCTGTGGTTTCCCTCATTATACTACCCCTTCCTGTCCTACGGACAAAAGTCCCAGTGGAAAATACCTGAGTTTTAGAGTCCAGGATCTGGGGTTGAGTTCTAGTCCTGTGGCCTGCTAGCCAAGTAACTTAACTTCTCTAAGATTTGCTTTCCTTATCTGCAAAAAAGGAATGAAATGAGATAATGTATAAAAGTGCCTCTAAATATTAGTGTTGTGTAAGTGACAGGCTAACTTTACTGCAGGTGTTGGGCCCCACGTGGAGATACCATCCTTTGTTTTTGTATCATAATACCTTGGGACTCTGTCCAGACTATGACCTTCTTCAAAGTCTCTCATCTTCCCAGGCTTCCAGAAGAACCAGGAGGTAAGAAGGGGGCCTTCTGGAGCCTTCTGGGATTCTCCTTGTCAAGGACTTGCCTGAGCATCTCCTTTCCCCTGTTTGTTTCTGTGCAAATGTTCTTCCCTGGGCTGTGGTGCCTCACCTGTCTTGTCGGTTAGGCTATTCCTGACTCATGGCCCAGGACAAACATTACCTGTTCTCTGTAACTTCCTCTGACTCTCTAAGAAAATCAATTTCTTGCTCATCGTGTTTCTGTACAACATTGTAGAGGCCTCTGTTATTGTCTAATCAAGGCTAGTTACAGCTTTTCTAACATTTCTGTCTATCTCATTAGACTGTGAGCTCTTCTAAGCCAAGGCCTCTGCTATTGTCTAATCAAGACTAGTTATAGCTTTTCTGACATTTCTGTCTATCTCATTAGACTGTGAGCTCTTCTAAGGCAAGGATGAGTGCAGGATCAAAGATGTAGATGTGCTCAAGCATCTTTATTTTCATGGCTATGCCAGTAGGAGAGGGCTGGATCCCACTCCTATAATGCAGGAGGAGGAAGGGTTGCTTGTGAGTGAGTGGAAGGGAGGTATTTAGTGATGTTTCTCTTTGGCTATTCAAATGCCTGGAGGTAAAGAGAAAAGGAGATGACATGGGCAGGGCCTAGTCATTCTTAAGACTCCATAACTTGCTCAGCAACATGTACCCACAGGAGGAAGAAATTCTGCATGAATTAAAGAATGGACTGGAGCTAGAAGATTTGGGTTCAAGACTTGGTTTCAAGCCCATTTACTAACAGTGGCGTCTTGGGTGTGTCAAACCATAGTTTCCTTCTCTGTGGAAAAATACTTGTCTAATGGTTTTATAGCAGAGACAGTGCAGTACTATCTGTTTACCAAATGTGGTCTCCTTTGTTCCAAGCACCCAGTCTCCCTTACGATTAGGTAAGCGTGTGACTAAGTTCTGGCAAATGAATGTGGGTGGAATTGATGTTCCCCATTTCCAGGCCTGGCTCATAGAAACATCCCCCAGGATCTTCTGCTCTCTCCTTCCTGGTCTGTGCACTGTGAAAAAAAGACTTAGAGGCTCTGACTTTAAGGAAGACTTAGTGGGATGGCAATGCCGCAGATGAAGGAGACTGGGTCCCTGATGTCTATGAGGGACAGAGTTTCCTCTCCTTTCTACCTCCCTATATTGAATTGTGATGAGAACCAGAAGTACTTTCACTATGTTAAGCCACTGAAATCTGGAGGTCATTCTTTGTGGCAGTTGGCCTACTCTGACAGAGTTTAAATGGATAAAATGTTTCAAATTTCAAAATGCTACTGGTTATTCAATATGATACTGGTTGTTATTATGGCTGTTTTTTGTTTTTTGTTTTTTTGAGATGGGGTCTTTCTCTGTTGCCCAGCTTGAAATACAGTGGTGTAATTATAGCTCACTGCAGCCTCAAACACCTAAGCTCAAGTGATCTTCTTGCCTCAGCTTCCCGAGTAGCTGGGACTACAGGCATGTACTATCATGCCCAGCTAATTTTTATTTTATTTTATTTTTATTTATTTTTAAATTTTGAGACAGGGTCTCACTCTGTCACCCAGACTGGAGTACTGTGGCATGATCATGGCTCATTGCAACCTCTTCCTCTCAGGCTCAAGCGTTCCTCCTGCCTCAGCCTCTCAAGTAGCTGGGTCTACAGGTGTGTGCCACCATGACTGGCCCAATTTCCCTATTTTTTGTAGCGATGGGGTTTTACCATGTTGCCCAGGCTGGTCTCGAACTCCTGGGCTCAAGTAATCCACCGGCCTTGGCCTCCCAAAGAGCTGGGATTGCAGGCGTGAAGCACCAAGCCTAGCCTAATGTGTTTTTTTTTTTTTTTTTTTTTTTTTTTTAAATAGAAATGGAGTCTCACTATGTTGCTCAGGCTGGTCTCAAACTCCTGGGCACAAATGATCCTCCCACCGTGGCCTCCCAACGGGTTGGGATTACAGCCATAAATGGCCACTGCACCATTTATGGCTTTCATTCTAG